ACATTATGAGGGGCCCGTTTGTAGACTTTTTAACTGTGTGAAATCCAATATCGTTTGGAGAGTGGAACGAAACATTCTTTATAAGAGTGTAAAAACCTCTCTTTAGTAGATGCGTTTTAAAACCTTGAGAGAAAGTCCGAAAGGAAAAACTCAAAGAAGATAATATCTCATTTTGAGATGAAGTACGTGCAGAAGTCACTGACAAGGGTATAAATTTTGCACAGTTCTTTCTAATCCTTAAATTTTGTTTGATGTTGATGTTGACAGACAAGAAGAATACGGGTTTTCAAGAAGATTTGGTTGCTATTATTACCAAATCTGCTATCTGTGAGGCTTCACCATAGCTCCTCTGGAGTCTGGTAAGCAGCTTTTTAACCGCTCAACAGTTGTTAGTTCTTTGCTTGAATTGTTTCAAACCGTGTGAGATCCTACGTCAGTTGGAGAGTGAAACAAAACATTTTTTTATAAGGGTGGGAACTTCCCTAGCAGACACGTTTTCAATTCTTGAATGGAAGCCCAGAAGGGAAAGCTCAAAGAGAACAATATTTGGTAGCGGTGGGTTTGAGCAGTTACAAATGGTATTAGAGCCAGACACCAGACGGTGTGCTAGAAAGGATGCTGGACCCTCAAGGGAGGTGGATTGTGAGATCCCACATCAGTTAGAGAGGGGAACGAAACATTGTGGGTAGGGGGTGGATTGTGAGATTCTATATCGGTAAGAGAGTGAAATGAAACATTCCTTGTAAGAGTGTGAAAACTTCTTCTTAGTAGACACGTTTTAAAACCTTGAAGGGAAGCCCAAAAGAGAAAGCCGAAAGAGTACAATATCTGCTAGCGGTGGGCTTGGGCTATTACAAATTCTATCAGAGCCAGACACCGGGCGGTGTGCCAACGAAAACGTCGAGCCCCTAAGGGAGGTGGATTGTGAGATCCCACATCGATGGGAGAAGAGATCGAAACATTCCTTATAAGGGTACAGAAACCTCTCCCTAACATACGCGTTTAAAAACTTTTAAGGGAAACCCAGGAGGAAAAGTCTAAAGAGAACAATATCTACTAACAGTGGGCTCAAAGATAGAGGACAATATCTACTAGCAATGGACTTAAGCGGTTACAGAAAAACCATGTTTCTTAGAGCAGAGCCAAACCAGAAAAAACGATGATCATAGTACACAATATGCGAAAAAGGCCAAAGTGGATATTTGAATAAAACTCAAAATTATATGAGTATGATACAAACTTCAGGCTTTCAGTAAGAGCTCTCTACGTGTAAAAGACATTCAAGAATAAGGAGGCAATTCCAATTCATTATAAACACACAAAAATAGTACAAAAAAACACTAAATCCATCCACATACCACAAATGCAAGCCTTTACCTCAACCGGGTTACGTCGCTTCTCTCCGAATCAAAGGAGGCGAAGGAGGCATCATAGTTTTATCTGCACCTTCTTCGAGTTCCTGTTTCACTGAAGTAAAAGCACTTTCTGGACTGTAATAGCCCTTTGAGATGGGAACAGGAGACCCTCCTGCAATGATCTTAGATGGGCTGGAGATGTTTGGCTGTGGAGAACCTGATATGGATGTGTTATCTTCACCATGGACCTGCTTACTCCCCCCTGCCTCTGTTTGTTTTCTGCAAAACTTCTCTTGTACTATGTCATATGAATTTCCAGTGCGTGCCTCTTGTGCCAGAGTGCACCAACAACAGAAGAGCCATAGAGTGCAGTCAGCCACAGCAGACTTGCCAAAACAAAAGCTATATGCTGGCAAATTGTATCTCTTTCTCATCTGTATCCGCCAAAAACCGCCATAGAGTAAACCAAATACACAAAGAACAATCCCGGTGACCGCCATAAGCGTCCGAACAGTTTCGTTATCAATGTTTACAGCAGCTAAGAGAAAAATCCAGAAAGGAGCCATACAGAACAGCATGAAAGTTGCTATATGGACATACATATTTCCAAAGCCTAGTCTCTCCATATTCCAACCAAATACACAAAAGCTACAGAAAAGGGAAAGGTGTGCTAGAGATATATCATCCCAAAAGTCGAGTATTCCACCACTCCACTGTGGACTCGTCTCGATAATTCTGTGTTCATCTCTTGTTGCAAGCGAATATCTTCTCTCTAGTGATTTCGACCTAGACGGTTGCTGTTGATCACCATTAACCGTCTGATTTGGAAGCTGCGCTTCCTCGTCGATTTCAGAATCATAATCCTTCCCCAAGGGGCTAATTATAGTGTAGACACCAGCGATGGCTGGTGCAGCAATTGCAACAGATATGCATATTCCTACTCCTATGGCTGGACGCTGAGATCTCCTGTAACCCAAATTCAGACCACAAAGTGCATACTGAGCAAAACAGTTCACGTTGAGGAGAATTATAACCACCAACATATGCGTCCATTCATGAGGCTTGTAAGTCCCATCCTTGCAGTAAAGCTTTCTAAGTTTAGTAACATCTTCGCGTTTCCATCGAGATAAAAGTATGAGATGGTAGATCCGTTTTGGATGTTGGTACAGACACATAAGTGTAAACAATGCATTCAGAATTTGATTATTGACTTCAAACCAAACATCTCTTACGGATTTTTTCGGCAATGCAGCGTTTAACATCCCGGTCATGACAAGGAACAGGATTGCACCAGACACAGCAACACCAATTATCCAAATGAAAAGAGCTATGTTCAATGGGTCTCTGATCCATGTCTTGCTCATGTTCAGGAGTGAATCCCAATCAATTTTCTTAGAAAGTACTTCACTTAGACGTTCTCGGAAATGATGACCACTTGAAAAACGCACAGAACGGGACATGTCGTCCTTCTCCTTGGCAATCTGCTGGAACCTAGCAGATGCTGAACCAAATTTGAAGAAACTTTTCTTAATAGGAGTCACCACAGTAATGGAGATAGGGGATCGTCTTTGTGTGACTTCCTCATGCAATAGGACTTTTTGAGATGTAGAGAAGTTGAAAGCATTTTGAGCTTCTCCTTCTTTGCTATTAGATACTTCTATTCCACCATTGCCATTTCTATCGTTGGTTGAGGCCATTGCTACAGACAGTACCAAAAAATGCTGCATCAGTTCACATATCCATCAAATGGATCGTAAGAGAAAAGCCTTTGTGTATGAACTCATTACAACCAGCAATCCATTAACCCCAAGAAACTAGAAACATGGAAGCTCAAGAAAATCCCCAAGAATAATCCAGTTTTATGATGAGAATCATCATGCCATGGTAAAGTAGAAAGAATCAATAATATAGTAAGCTGTTGTGTTGGCGAATGGTATAGACAGTCCAAACAAAAGCTAACCCAGCAAGGTAAATCAAACCAACACCATAAACAGAATGATTGAGATACCCAATTCACTAATTCCCCCAAACCATACAAGTTTACTTATACCTTACCAAAGTTCAGCATAGGGAGTTCGTTTCCAGAAGAAGTAGAACAACCCACAAACTGAATGGGAAATTTACGAGTCAGGGCCAATAAAACTTACCTAAAAACTGAAAATTAGCAGATTCCACGAGGATTCTTCCGAGAACAGAGGAGCTCAGCTATCCGATTTCAATAAAAATTATTGAAGGTTAAAGCAGAATGACCTGTTCACCACCACATACTGCAAAAAAAAAAGGCGTTGTAAGGACCCAACTTCCTCGATAAACTAAGAGTCAAGAGAGAGAAGGGCAATGGTCAAACCAGAAAGCGAGTTTCGATGATGGGTGCCGGTAGAATTTGGCCTTGGCTCCGCAACGAACGACGTCGCTACAAGCTTACAAGCGAGGCATCCATTGACCCCACTGCCTTTCAGAGGGAGGCATCTGGAAGTTGCAGCCAGAGAGCGAGTTGCCTTTTCCGGTTTTCTTTTTTTTCTTTTTCCTCTTCTGAGACCGAAACTTCCATTATTGATATACCAAACGTAGGCTGTTGGCTTTGTTTCACACTTTACAATAAATGGTTTAAATTATGGGTTTGGTGACATAAAGATGTCATTTATAATATGTATTCTTCATTATTAGTGGCTGTATTCAAATGCTGATGCTTCTCTCCCAGTGATGTAGATATCTACATATGAATCAACTCTTGATGGATGAGGGTCTCCTTTGAAGAAAGGCAAGAACTTCCAACTTTTTGTTTTTGTTTTTGTTTTTGTTTTTGCACGGTGGAGCTGGAGAAGGGAAAATGTCTACTTTATGTGATACCCAACCTTCTTATTAGGATTAAAGGAGAAAATATAATCAAAAGAAGTTTAGTAAGGGAGATTCCTCCCCACTTTAATTTTCAAAAGATTGAGATGAGAGATAAAAGAAAGAAAAAGGACATCTTCTCTCATACCTTTTATATTCTATTTCCAAGACAACAATCATAATACTACAAAAATTAAGAAAAAAAATTGATAACTCAAGTGGTTATGGTTCTTTTTTATAAACTTTTGATTTTTAAGATAGGTAAATTATGTTTGAATGGACAATAATTAACGATTTAAAAGACGACTTTCATAATAGATGCCAATCAAATCATGGTGCAACTTTAGTTAGCTCGTTGGCTTCCTTGCCCCACAACTTGTAAAGACAAATTGAATATCAACTTAGGAAGAGAGTAGGAATTTAAGACGTAAACCTTCTGTAATAAATATATGTGGGACTCCATATCGATTGGAGAGTGGAACGTACCTTTATAAGGGTATGAAAATCTCTTCAAAACAGACATGTTTTAAAATCCTAACAAAAAGTCAGGAAGAAAAAGTCTGAAGAAGACAATATCTGCAAACAGTAGAGTTGAGTAGTTGCAAATGGTATCAGAATCGGGCAAGTGGGGTTGAGTAGTTGCAAATGGTATCAGAATCGGGCAATGTGCCAATAAGGAGGCTGAGCCCCCAAAAAAATACCGGTCAAAGTAAGAAGGGAAGGAGTACAATTAACGCTGGGATTTGTCAATTATCTCAAATTGGTATTCGAGCGAAGTCAAAGGAAAGCATAGTTTCGAATAGAAAACTACACAAACTCATGCACGCAAACTGAATCTCAGGCAAACTGAGCCCGAAACAAGGTAATTTTTTAGAATCTCAGGCATTACAAATGTGGTGAAAATTTACATAAATCTCATCATATATAGTGCTGCAATCAACAAACCGTGACACAACAAAACAATTTATAATGGAGAAATTTAGGTAAGGTCATCCTCCTCCATCTCCTTGGCTTTCAGCTTTTCCTTCACTCTCAACAGCAGAGTTGTCTTCCATGGGTCCTGGTAAACCAAGCGTAATATCATAAAGGTATATTAGTAATAATAATTATCTTCATTCAATGCTTTTTCTACAAAAGTAAAGTCGTGAATGCTTATGCTAAAAGTGCAGAAACCTTAATCTATGCGACACTCATGAAGTTTTCAGCACGAGAATCGCTCGGTATTATCAATTTCTATCAACCAAATTGGATACTTCAGAGTTTATAATGCAATGTAACGTCACAAATACTCACCAGTGGGGTCATGCTATCGAACTCCTTAACCACGTCAGTAAACTTCGTAACATCTTCTTCATCAATTGCACTAGCAATATCCTGACAGATAAAGCACTTTTTCAGCTCAAGAGAGAACAATGATTGAAAATCCAAAAAAAAAAAAAAAAGTAAAAAAAAAAGTGATAGCAAAATGCAAGGAAGTATCTAATTGAAATCGTAGTAATCTGAAGACAGCCACACATAACATGCAAGAATGAAATAAAAATCCAAGTGGAAATGTCGAGGTAGCTGAACTTGCAATCAAACTAAATGAAAAGAGATGATAATTATCTGCCTCAATCATGAAATTTACGTAACAATGCATATCGATGAGAACGGAAGCAGTAAATAAAACGTCAATTGAAGATCTAAACAACTTACAGCTAAAAGTCTACATTCGCGCGTGCCAGAAAAAGTTGGATCTAAATCCTGTAAAACAATATGCAGAACACTTAAATGAGAGTTGCAATAAGGTACATATACACCATGAAGATTGAAGGCTGAGAATTGAACCTGATATTCCTCCAATGCTTTAGTGATGGCTACAATATCACCTTTGCAGAGTTGACATAAGCCAGCATTCAGAAGATGTCCTTTCACTCCATATTTTAGCAAGTTACTTTTGAGTGAATGTCGAGCAATCTCTTCATATATTTTAATTGCCTTTTCGTATCTACAGAAAATTCACAGTTGATTACCAACTACCTCACGACTAAAAGATAGAAGCCACACCATGGACACAGGGCTTCATGTGCACTATTGAAGCTTAGAATTCAAAAATAAATTTCCTTAGTATATAAATCATTTCTGTTTACATTACTGTTAGATATATTTCCCACTGAAATACAAATATTATTAAGAAAAACACTAAGGATATTGTGTAATAGTTTTTCCTTGTACATGAGTTTAACCACAAGGTATACATTAATAGCCACGTCAATTGCTTTCAAAAACATCAAAATATGATTGAGAACTTAACCAATCCATGACCACTCAGGAGTAATAATTAATAGATAGAAAGTGTACAAAAATAGTATAAGAAGAAATGCTTACTGTTCTAACTGAGCAGCAAACTGCGCCACTTTCTGCTTGCACTGGTTCGCAGATGTTGTTACTTCCTCGTTTTGGAAAAAGTCGGCAGCTTTCTCAAAGTAACCAATAGCAAGTTCAATGTTCTGGTCTGATTCATATAGTTCAGCAATTTCCTACATAACTAACGATAATTACAACCTGAACAATCCCTTACAGGCAAAGTAGAGACAGAAGCAAAAGAAAGGGGCCCTATAAAAAGAAAGCCAAAGGCACTATTGAGTAATTAGTTTCCTAAACGATTCTGCCAAGCTAAAGAGCTGAGTTTAGGTATCATAAGCATGCACCTTCAAATATCTTGCAGCCATACTGAGCCTTCCAATATCACAAAACAGATTTACTGCCTGCTCCATGCATGAAATGGCCTCTACAATACAACAAAAAAAAATTAGCTTCAACAAATTTCTAGACTTCCAACATAATGGTGAATAACATGGTTAATTATAGCAGATGATTTAAATTTTAAACAGGTTAAGCCAACACAAAAATATATCTGGATTTACATTATTGACGAGAAAATATGAGAACCTGAGAGCTATTTCTTGCGTCCTGCTGAGTTGGCAACTTATATTAACAGAGAGAACTAATATCAGGTAAAGAAAAAATTAAAATAAAATAAGACAATTTTCAAAAGATTCACTCATGAGCAAGAATATTTGGACAGAGAAATAAAACTAAAAGAAAAGCCAATTCTAACAAACCATCTAACATGTGGAGGTAGTGTTATGTTAGTTTTTCATTCTCTCCATTTGGATTTCTATTCATGCTATCAGAAATTGATTTTTCATATAAAGGAGGTCCAATTCCAACAGAACCTGAAATTCGTGTTACAGAGCATCATGAGTCATCCCAATCTCTTTTATTTGAAAAATAAGCAAACAAGTTAATGAAGAAAGCAGGGAGCATTAGAAAAACATAGAACGTAGAAGGCAAGTGGAGTTGGTCACATAGTTGAATAGTGTACGTGTTCACAAAAAAATCAAGAGTTGGGAAAACTGATCAACCCCCTTCTATGAGTAATTGAGAAGTGATTTTCGTTATTAAGTATTTGAGAACAGAAAATATTGGAATGCCATTGATAAAGTTGTGAATGTGAATGTTCAGATGAAGATGGACTGTGTAAGATGAGGAATTCTACCAGTGTAATGTCATCTAGTAGAAATATAATGAATCAACAATGTAGGCTTAATAATCCCATGACATGCTACAATCAAGATATATTATAAATTTAGACTTACCCTTTATAGATGTCTTCTTATAGGCATTGGCAGCATCCGTATAAGCTTGAGCAGCTTCATGCTTACTTTCCACCTATAAAAAAATCATTTTTAAAAATACGATAGAGAAGGTAAGATATGAGGAATAGGCATTATCACACACTTGAAGCATTTACCTTCAGATAGCAACTTGCTAATTTTATGTATGTTGACCCAGCTTTATCCCCTAAAACACCGCATGCATAGAGATTAAAGCCACATAACAGGTATCATAGTGAGAAAAGGTAAGGTAATTGTGAATGACAGCAAAATCATTAGACTACAAAATTAGGAGACCATGACTGTTTTGAAATCCTTTCTAATGCACAGGGCAAAGGGATTAATGCCGCTAAAATTGAATTAGAAGGAATCGAAGAGAGAGGAATTCAAATATATACTAAAATGAGTAGTGTTGATCAACTAGTTCAAAAAATCTTTGATGGTTCAGCAGGCTTCTACGTAGGGAACCAAAGAAATTCATGCCTGGTTTTGACAGTATTGTATAAAAGCAAATCTGAAGAGATCCCAGGGATTACGAATATATATATCCTCTAATGGGTCGACAGGCAAATCCCTTTAAATATTAAGAAAAATCCAAAAACAGAATTCAGAATATCTAATTCGTCAATGTCAATATCTCATCATCCATATGGAGACTTTAACTAACATATGAAGAACAATTTCACTTCATACTTATTCATCCATTTGGATGATATATCTTGCAACCAAACCATTTAACTTTAACTATGTCCTTCGCTCACTGGATGGCTATACCATTAATGAACTTCTGCTTATAGTTTTCAGTTTTTGTAACTCATTCCCAAACAATACTCTCCAAATTCGATATTGAGATAGCTAACACATCCAAATCTTTTTATCCAGTGTCCGTCCATCATTCCTAGACAACAGTTCATATTTTCTCACGGGAAACGCAGTTGCATCCATAAACTGACTATAAATAAATGCATTTATTGCCAAAAAAGTATCTTATTTATTCTTCAGATCATTAATCTTAACCCTCCTAGTTCAAAGCAGGTGCATACCTTGCAAGCAGAATCAACAAATAAATTCAAATTTCAGTATAAGAAATATTGTAGGTCAAATTCCAACAAAAGAATCAGTATGCAGCTCTTAAATTCCTTTTTAATTCAAGCAACAGACAATAAAGTTGAGTCCAAGTTGATGCGTTGGGGCATGAAATATTGAATCAGTCGCATCGCACAAAGATCTAGAGGACTCCAAAAGAAAAAAAAAAAAGTACTGGCAGAGAATGATTTGGCGAATTACATGATTTAGCAAGCTTGTAAGAGTTAGCAGCCTTATCGAAGAGATCAGCGGCATCTTCGTACTTGGAACCGAATAATCCCCAACCATTAAGCTTCTTCTCCGCTTTCTTCTCGAATTCCTCTCCCTTAGCAAGCTGATCGGCCATCTTTAAACAGAATCCTCGAGTTTGCTTCGAGCTTGAGGAATTAAACGAGGAGTATAAACAGGGAGAGAAATTAAGGGGAAACTAGTACGGTCAAACTATGGGCTTTGTTGGTCCAAGGAAGGTTAAAGACTTTCCATTGAGAATAGCCTTTGTCCCGTCGACCTGCCTAAGCTTGTGCGCGCCGTCAGAAACCCGCGGGTTGAAATGCCGAAACTAGCGGCCACCTGGGCTTACGATTAGTCGGTCTCCCAAAACGACATGTCGTAAATAAGCATTGGAATGATAAGGAAGCGGCGTCGTTTAAATGGATGGATTTTTTCTCCTTTTAATATTTTATTAATTTTTAAAATAAATACCGTTTTTTTTTTTTTTATGAATGAAAAATCGTCACATTAAAATAATCTAAACATAATTTGAAATATCGAGTGAAATTTCTGGATATATCCAAGTGATGAACTTGAAACCAGAAAGAACCACTAATTCGAAGGCGGCAACGGGGCTGCTTGCACAAGCTAAAGCTCCACTAGAACACGATTATGAGTTTATCCATCAATTTTGTGGTCGCACAACCCGTTCAATCCATTGTCTTTCCTTCACGAACGCCCAATGGCCAGGCTAGTCTCTCATTCCCTCAAGCAATTTCGCTTCTTCTTCTTCTTTTTCTTCCAGAATTGAGATTTATTTTGGTAATGGCTGAAAATCTTGGCAGATAAGGAATTCATCTTTAACAACAACGCATTCTGCTACCCAAAAAGCTATTACAACCTCCGGTATCAAAATTCCCAATTCGGTTTCAGTTGATAAAAGTAATTCCCGTCTTGAAATTCAGCCGCTTGTTGATCTTCTGCGTGGTTGTGTGGATGCAAGGTTTCTGAAACAAGCGAAGACTGTACATGGGTTTTTGTTAAAATCAAAATTTTCAAACCACGATTCTCTGGTTTTGCTTAATCATGTTGCTGACGCTTATTCGAAATGCTCCGATATCGATGCTGCCTGTCGCCTGTTTGATAAAATGTCCCAGAGAAACATATTTTCATGGACTGTCATAATTGCTGGATTGGCTAAGAATGGTTTGTTCCACGATGGGTTTGAGTTCTTCTGTGAAATGCAGAGTCAGGATATTTTCCCTGATCAGTTTGCTTATTCTGGTGTCTTACAGATATGCATTGGCCTGGAGTCCATTGAATTGGGCAAAATGGTTCATGCCCAGATTGTTATTAGAGGCTTTGCATCTCATACTTTTGTGTCTACTGCTCTTCTTAATATGTATGCAAAGTTACAGAAGATTGATGATTCATACGAGGTGTTTAACACCATGACTGAAGTCAATGTAGTCTCATGGAATGCCATGATCTCAGGGTTCACATCAAATGGTCTTTACTCAGATGCTTTTGATCATTTTCTCAGAATGAAAGGAGAAGGAGTAACACCCGATGCTCAAACATTTATCAGCATTGCAAAAGCTATCGGTATGTTACGAGATGTGAACAAGGCAAAAGAAATTAGCCGTTATGCTTCTGAGTTGGGTATGGACTCTAATCCTCTTGTGGGTACTGCCCTTATTGATATGCATTCTAAATGTGGATCTTTGCAAGAGGCAAGATCTATCTTTGACTCACATTTCACCAATTGTCGGGTTAATGGACCGTGGAATGCTATGATTTCGGGGTATTTACAGAGTGAGTTTAATGAAAAAGCCTTGGAATTGTTTGCCAAAATGTGTCTAAACAACGTACACTTGGACCGTTACACCTACTGTAGTGTATTTAATGCTATAGCTGCCTTGAAGTGTTTGTCGTTGGGAAAGAAGGTTCATGCCAGGGCTATAAAATCAGGATTGGAAGTGAATAATATAAGTATTTCCAATGCAGTGGCTAATGCTTATGCTAAATGTGGATCACTGGAGGATTTAAGGAAGGTCTTTTACAGTATGGAAGAAAGAGATTTAGTATCTTGGACCACCCTAGTGACTGCTTACTCTCAATGTTCTGAATGGGACAAAGCGATAGAGATCTTCTCAAATATGAGAGAAGAAGGTTTTGCACCCAATCAATTTGCCTTTTCTAGCGTGCTTATTTCATGTGCTAGCCTTTGCTTGCTCGAGTACGGTCAGCAAGTCCACGGGTTCATTGGCAAGGTTGGCTTGGATATGGACAAATGCATACAAAGTGCTCTGATTGACATGTATGCCAAATGTGGCAGTCTGGCTGAGGCGAAGAAGGTTTTCGATAAAATCTCTGATGCTGATACAATTTCATGGACCGCTATAATAGCAGGTCATGCTCAACACGGTATGGTCGATGACGCCCTTCAACTCTTTAGGAGGATGGAGCAGTTAGGTGTGGAGCCCAATGCTGTTACTTTTTTGTGTGTTCTATTTGCTTGTAGCCATGGAGGTCTGGTAGAGGAAGGCCTACAGTACTTCAAGCTAATGAAGGAAACCTATGGTTTGGTCCCAGGGATGGAGCATTATTCCTGTATTGTCGATCTCTTAAGTCGTGTGGGACGTCTAAACGATGCAATGGAATTTATAAGTAAGATGCCCATAGAGCCGAATGAAATGGTTTGGCAGACCTTGTTGGGGGCATGCAGGGTCCATGGTAATGTTGAATTGGGAGAGCTTGCTGCTCGGAAGATACGTTCTTTCAAAGCCGAAAACTCCGCCACCTATGTTCTTTTATCCAACACCTATATCGAATCAGGGAGTTACAAAGACGGACTTAGTTTGCGGCATGTGATGAAAGAGCAGGGCGTAAAAAAGGAACCAGGATGTAGTTGGATCTCTGTGAATGGTACATTACATAAATTTTATGCAGGTGATCAACAACATCCAGAAAAAGATAAAATTTATGCAAAGCTAGAAGAGTTGAGGTTGAAGGTCAATTCTTCGGATGATGTACCAGATTTGAGTTACGAGCTGTAAGACGTGGACCTCGGTTAAGTTATACGGGTACGGATGGAAGCCCCGGTCCCCTCGACCAAATCTCTATGGAGAAAAATAAACGCATCAGCCAAAGATATCAAATTAAACAGTGAAGGCAAATGAGTGCTTAAGAACTAAATTTGGGGCTAAAGTATATGGGACTTACAGATATGATTGTCTGCATTATTCATCTCCTGCAGGTTCTGAAATATGTATGATGATGTACAGCATTAGATAAGGAAGAATAAGGATTCGGATTAGGGGAATGACGAAAAGCGCCACAGACCATGCTTCGTTCTATGAAGATCTTTTACTTTTTGACAATATGATTGCTTTATTGGGTGAAGCCTTCAGAAGTTTGACCTCTTCTATAGTAATACATTGTTATGGTGTTCTAATATGGAATCATAGAGCCTTTCTGCTTATGATCTTACTGGGGTCTACCGAACTCGTCGTACTCGAAAGTAGCAAAAATTATTATTACATTACATGAATAAGTTTGGGGGAGAAATTTCTCCCTCTGATTTATTTTTGTTTTAACTCTCTAAATTTGTCTTTTATCCTTCCTTTTTTTCCTTGGAAACGTGGCCTAGTTGTTCTATTTATCATGCCAAGGATCTGTTTACTATTTCTCCCGTGAATTAGCTGAAATGAGTTCACTGTTCTATATTATTGTGATTATTGCTTTTTCCTTTTTACCGTAAGAAGAATTCGATTGTGTTTTAATTACTGTTCCAGAAGGTAAATTATGTTAGGAATCACGGATCTCCACAATGATATGATATTGGACTTTGCTTTGAGCTTCTCCAAAAGACCTCATACCAATGGAGATGTATTCTTTACTTATAAACCCACGATCATTCCCTAAATTAGCCAATGTGGGACTCCTTCCCAAGAGGCGAAGAGTGCAAAAATAGTGTTTGTTCTTAGATAATGCATTTAGTGAGTTAATGTGTGCCTATGAGAGACTATCCAAAAAAACAAAGGCTGTTATATGAAATGTGTTGTGGGTATGGCTGTGTTAGCTTGTTGTGCCATTATATGTGGTCCTTTGCTGGATTTATATGCAGGTTCCTCAACATGTGAAGAAGAAGATGGGACAAGCGACTTCCAGTGCGCATGTATGTATGTATATATGTACTGAAAATGTATGCATCTCCAAGCCTACAAACCGCCCCCGTGACCTGAAATGTTGAAATCTTTCTGTCAACATCAGTGGAGGATAACAACAATAAGGTACGTCTCCTAACTCAATGCTATGCATTTTGTTGCTACTTATACAGAGTTATTTGCTGCTTGGGCCACCCTAATTCCTGTTTCCATCTAAATAGATACATTTATTTATACATTTAGGAAGAAAAAGAAAGAAAAAAAAAGATGCTGGGTTTGAACATACAAGACAAAACTCATATAGCTGTCATATGTTCATGACGATAGCAGAGTAGCTGCTACAATTCTAAGACTGACGGCTCTTTGAGAGCGACCCTTTTCAAATCTCTCCTTTCCCACATTTTCTCCTGATATTTAATGACCCATCTGGGTTTAGAATAAGGTCATCAAATGTTCATTATGTATACCATATGATGTTCTTAGCATGCTGTGTGACCCAACCAAACTGCTGCTTGTCTTTGTTGTTTATATTATCCTTGTAGAGATTCTTACCAACCAAAGTGAACAAGAGAGGCACTTATCACTAACTTTATACTTTTATTAACTTTTGTTTCCATTGTACATTTGCATGTGAATGTACTTTCCCGAAGAGCAACTCACGTGAGCTTTTGTAGCAAGTCACAAGAATCCTATAACTTTGTTCCACAAAAACGGATAACTTTATAATTTTATATACCCACACACACACACACATAGAAATTTGAAAATTTGAAAATTTGAAAATAGAATCGGATATGGTTAAGTTATATATATCATCAACATCGAGGAGTTTATTCAGTGCGTTCCTAGTATTCAGACAAAATTACATATTTACTTTAATGTATCTTTCAGTGAGATCCTACATTGGTTGGAAAGGAGAACGAAACATTTCTTATAAGGGTGTGGAAACCTCTCTCTAGCAGACATGCTTTAAAATCGTGAGGTTGACAGTGATACGTAACGGGCCAAAACGGATAATATTTGTTAGCGGTGGCGGTGGGCTAAAGCTGTTACAGTTCCACTTGCGTCACCCACAGTCAAATACAATGTGTTCCTTTCCACGAGGGTCTCTCCCACTTTATTGCAACGGAGGAACATAGAATG